GCTCTGGTGAGGGCAGAGCATGGATCAGGGGCTGGAATGGTGATAAAAGCAGGAGAAGGGAGAGGCTGCTCCCTGGGGACACGGTGACACTGCTGGGGACACGGTGACAGTCCTGGGGACACGGTGACACWCCCAGGGACCCACCAAAGCAAACAYCTTTTCCYGGTGCCTCAGCAGGAGGGGAAGGTGGCCTTCCAGGAGGCATTTTCCARCTGAAATGGTTTCATTTCCAGCAGCTCAAAAACCTTTGGAGACCCAAAATTCCCAGCTTGGGGATGAGGAGGATGAGTGATCCCCCTCGTTCCCTCAGCCAYAGCCCGGGGGACAGGTGACACCGCCGTGCTGAGGCCACCTGACACATCTGTCACCCCCAAAGTCACCCTGATCCCCTGTGCCCGGACAAGGGGAGCTCCAGGGTTGGCACTGGAGGCTTTAACCCTTCCCATGTCCCAGAGGAGCTGCCCAAACACCAGGGATGTGCCAGAGGGTCTGCGCCGTGCCCCAGGCTCCCACACGCCTTAAGAGACTCTTCCCGGGATTCTGGCACGGCCTTTTTATCCTCAAGACCCCCAAATTTCAGGCCAAAAGGGGCACTTTGTCCTGGGATGCTGTTTTGGGAGGCCAGCACAGGCCAGCTCCATCCTGACACATCCTCAGGGAGAGGAGGAGATGTCCCAAAGCAGCACCGCTCCCCTTTGCCACCTCACGCCGAGGCAGCAGAGAGGTTTTCTGAGCGCAGGGCCACCAAAAAGGGTGGAAAGGGATGGAGAGGAATTGTGGCGGTGCCAGGGAACCCTTTCCCTGCACAGCAGCAGCCTCTGCCGGCACCGAGCCGCAGAGCAGGAGTGGTGGGAGCGTGGGCAAAGCCTGGAGAGCGCGACCCAAACACCGCCAGCCATGGAATAAGTACCAGGGGTCTCCAGGATACGAACGGTCACTCCCATTTGGGCTTATAAAGCCATGTTTCCAAGAGGATTATTCCCATYTCTCTCCAGTGACCCTAACCCTGCCCCTCCCCACGCAGTTCTCGCGGCCACTCCCGCGCAGCAGCTGGAAAATCCCCGCACCCAGCCCTCCCATCGCACACCCCAGAGCTCCAGGGCCTTCGCAAACAACAATCCCGGAGCGCCCGGGTGCTCCCCACCCACCCCACAGCCCCAAAATGGGGTCCTGGCCGAGCAGAGCCGCCACCATSCCACAACATCCCCCCGCAAAGAATTTTCCACACAAAACCTCCAAACAAGACACCGGCATTTAGGGATGAAAGTACTTTTTCCGAGGTGCTGGGATGAGGTTTTTCCCCCCCCAGCACGCACCAGCACCCCGGGGGCACCACTTACTTGGGGGTGTGCGCCTCATCCACGCGGTGCCCCAGCTGGAACTCGTGCGATTTGCTGCGGTGCAGCGCCGTGAAGCCCGGGATGAGGTGGATCAGCTTCCGCGACGAGGGCGGGGGCGTCCCGGGGGGCTTCAGTTTGTTCCTGCGGCGCACGGGCGGGGTCCCCGGCGGTGTCATGGTGGTGACGATGTTGGGGGTGCGCGGGGGGGTGTGCGCGGCGTGGCGCTGCCGCGGGGACGGTGGCAGGGAGCGGTGGCCGGACTCGAGGGGCGGGCACAGCCCCGGGTGACCCTCCACGGTCAGGCGGTCCACGTGTGTGTACATGGGGCCGTGGGGCGAGCCGGCGTGGCAGTGGTGCTGCCCGCACTTGGGCTGCACCTTGGGGCTCGGGTGCGTCCTGCCCCAGGGGCCGGGCTCCGGCGGGCAGCCCGGGCTGTTCTCCTTGCCCGGCTCCGTGCTCGGCCACTGGATGGTCCAGTCCTGCTTGGAGAGGCTCCCGCCTGCAGAGAGCACAGACACATGGACATGTGGAGGGGTGGGAGCCGGGGATTCTCCGCTCGGCCCCGGAGGTGGGAAAGGTCCCGTCCCTGGAAGTGCTGGAAGCTCAGAGCAGCCCGGGTTAGTGGAGGGTGWCCCTGCCCATGGGCCCTTCCYACAAAACCATTCCATGATTCCACCCTGCTAGAATCTGGGTTAGGGAATCATGGAATGGGTTGGGTGGGAAGGGTCCTCAAGGATCATCTCTTTCCATGGGCAGGGACACCTYCCACTGTCCCAGGCTGCTCCCAGCCCCAATGTCCAGCCTGGCCTTGGRCACTGCCAGGGATCCAGGGGCAGCCACAGCTTCTCTGGGAATTCCAT